GTGCCACAAAGATGATTGTGGTGCCACAAACTGCATGTGTAGAATGTTAAAGCATGCCCCACACTGTAAATTTGCAGCACAGGGGCAAAATCTGCTACCAAGATTTTCCAGTAGCAAACAGAAAGAAAGCAGCACAGCACATGCTACAATAGCATGGACTGGAACAAACAGAAGACTAGTTCTCCAGGGAGATGATCTGGTTGCTGTCCAGACCATCTCTACTTGTCCATTTGTGCCCTGGCTGGTCCAACATGCCAGAAGCCAGGAGAAGCTGGGCAAAGGTAGTTAGTCCAAAGCGGGACACAGTGTTCTGCAACAAAACACATGTGCAGAGGCGTGTGCTGTGGCACAAGGTAGCGGCACAGATCTGTGCTGTTACTATTTGTATTGCTGCAGGTGCCATTACTATTTGTGCTGACACAGCCAAAAAGGAAAAAAAAGGACCCTCACAAATAAACAACCCAAAATTTTCATCCAGAGCTGGAAGTTTCACACTTCTGCTTTCAGGGTCCTATCAGTATTTCACTGAAAATGTTTCCTTAAAAATACACCTTTAATGAAAAAATTGTACCATTTCAAGCACAAACAGATTATCAGCTATTTTATCTCTCTCATAAACTTATCAGCTACTGAATTTAAAACATTTCAGTGCTTTCAGAGTGAATGTCTTGACTCTTACATTCAGGGCCTAGATTTCTGTTCAAGGCCAAACTTTTACCAGCTATATTTTGTGGGTTTTCCTATAGTCATATTAGGAAGATCAGCTATTGCACCAGCAATATCTGACCACAGTTCAATCAAAGACCTTAATCTGATTTTCTTTTGTCTTGTCCTGGGTCCTGTAATGTTCTCCTCTGTTGTCTTTCTATATCTTAGCTCTCCAAACTTCAGTGACTTATCCTCTCTCCTCAACCTGGAAATAAGAATACAATATTTTTGTATCTCTTTCTGAATATGGGGCTAAATGTCTCCTAGTCTTCAATATTCTCTGAATCTGGAGATGTGTTTCATCTTTCTATTTTCTAGTCCATTTCTTATGGATAGCAAATGCCAAATACCTTTCTACCTCCCGTCTTTACCTTACAATGAAAAGTAGGCAACACTATGCTCATCATCCAGAACCTTTGATCTACTTTTCTGTATCTGACATTTATTTTCAATCTTCTCTCAATATGTACCCTGACTAAATCTCCTGGATCTTCACTTAAGATTGATAAATCCAATCAAGTCTTTCTATTGTCTTGAAGCTCAACCACTACCCTTAGACGTTTCACTCTCTCCATTTCTGAAGTTCCCACTAGTCTAATTTTACTAACCAAAAGCCCTTAGTGGAAATTAATTAGAATGGTCACATTTATTAATGTATACTAGTTACATTTTCAGCATTCTAAAGTGCTATTTATAACAAATAATAGCTTTGAGTATGATTTGTACCTTGCCAATGTCCTTTTATAAATGCCAATGCAAGATACTGTACTTGTGGTATGGCTTGGGGGCTTGTATGTTGGGCCCCACACCAAGAGGTTGTGCGTTCAAAGCTAAAAGTGTGTCCAAAGCTGGCTCTGTGCATGGGTGTGAAAAAAAATTTGGGTGCCAAATTGGCTAGATGGTCACACCCAGGCAGCGGTGGTAGATAGGTTGTCCTTGACCTGGAGGGATGTGGACAGTGGAGTACCCCAGGGCTTGATCCTGGGGCCTGTACTATTCAGCATCTTTAGAGATCTGGATGTGGGTGTGGAATGCACACTGTCCAAATTCGCTGATGACACCAAGTTGTGGGGTGAGGTGGGCACTCTTGAGGGTAGGGACAGAATCCACCTAGATCTAGACAGGTTACAGAAGTGGGCAGATGAGAATAGAATGGAATTCAATGCAGACAAGTGCAAGGTGCTGCATCTAGGGAGAAGTAACTAGCAACACACCTATAGGCTGGGGAACACCCTTCTTGCCAACACGGTGGCAGAAAGGGATCTTGGTGTCATTGTTGACTCCAGGATGAACATGAGCCACCAATGCGAGGAAGCGGTCAGTAAGGCTAACTACACCTTGTTATGCATCTACAGATCTGCACCCAGTATACATTAAATGCTGGCCCTGGGACATTGGTCCCAAGACACTGGGACATTGCTCCCAAGATGGTGACCAGGGGACAGGGCACCTGTCAAGGGGCAGGATTACCCATGCAGCCCTTGACAGCCTGCCAAAACTGGGTAAGTGGCCCTCTGCCCAAAATAATTGCATGCCCCTGGGCTAAAAGGTCTGAACCTATTCAGCCTCCACAAGAGAAGGCTGAGAGGGGAATCTGGTGGCCATTTACAAACTCACCAGGGGGGAGCCAGTGGGAATTGGGGGAGGCTCTGTTCCCCCAGGCACCACCCAAGGTTACTAGGAATAATGGCCACAAATTGTTAGAGAGAAGGTTCAGGATGGACATCAGGAGACATTACTTTAGAGTTATGGCTGCCAGGCTCTGGAATGGGCTACCAAGTGAGGTGGTACTCTCTCCTATCTTGCGGGTCTTCAAGAGGAGGCTGGACAGATATTTGGCTGGAGTGATATGATCCCGGCACCCGTTCCTGCCCAGGGCAGGGGGTAGGACCTGATGATCTGTTTATGTCCCTTCTGACCCTAAGCACTATGATACTATGATACTTTGATACTATGCCCTCTGTATTCTATTGAATTAGCACTCATGTTCAGTACATACTTAGGTGTACAAGAAGTGAAAACTTATTAATCTCCATCTATATATGATACAGAAATGCAAATAAATGGGGCTTCCAACTCCTTATTTGATCACCACTTTAGTGCCACTTAGTGTTCTTTCTTGAAGTCATTCTTCCCAAAGTGAATTAATGATATAATTATTTTGGCATTCTTTGAAAATTAAACATGAGTCTATCCACAATACGTAGTGGAGAAATGACAAATTGCACATTCTACGAACAAAAAGAGAACCACTCCCTGCCTTGGAGTTAGCCAGGGGAGCCCTTGCTTGGAAACTTCAGCCTTGCCAACTCTCTACAATATCTACACAAGTACTCTCAGCCAGCCCAGTCATGGCTTCTAGAGTGGAAGGGAGCCCAGGCTTCTTCCAACCTTGAGAGTATAGCCTTGTGGTCTCTGACCCTCCCTGCCTCTTCCAGCTCATCTCTGGAGGTAGGAACTTTACCCTGGATAGGAAGAAGTGTGCCCTGAAATTCCAAGCAGCAAAACAGACATCTTGTCAATAAAGCTGTTTACTTTGTTACCCAGTTCAAAGGCTACCCAGCCAAAGGTTCTCTGTGCACACCAAATGTCCAATAAGTCTTTCTGTCCCTAGATCAACCTGTACAATCCTGAGCATGCCAAAGTTAGCTCAAGGATTCACTGGCCAGTCCACAAGTGCCAAAGTTGCTCCACTGTTCACTCTCTTTAGCCCCCCCCACCCCCTGACCACAAGCCAACACACTCCTTTTTAGGTTGCCCTGCCCACTGCCATTTTCATTTCTCTCTCTTCCCTTGATGGCTCCAGGGTGTCACATGCATTTCAACTCCTTCAAGAATCAACAGGGCTATCCAGTATTCCACTGACACTGAAAGTCAATCTCATTTCCTCACACAGTCAGCTCTGGTACCTGGCAGGGACTCTATTAACTCTTCTTTCCCTGTGTATAAGCTAGTCAGGCTAACTGAGACATGTAATATTATTACAACATGAACACATTTAAAACATATTTTAAAATAAAAACCATCATCTGTCACCTCCTCCCTCAAAAAACCCTAAGCACATACTCCCAAATATTCACAATTTTGTACAGGCAGTCCTCAGACTTATGGCACGACTGGTTCCTGAAAATCACATCTTAAGTCGAAATGTTGTAACTCAGAACCAATTTTTCCATAGGAACAGTGTTACAAATGGGGGATTGGTTCCTTTATGATAGCTGATACAGCTGCGTGCAGCTGGTAAGTGTGCTGTGGTGGGAAGGGGTGCGGAGGGCAGATCAATGCCCCCTGCGGTGAGGGAGGGGCTGGAGCAAGTGCTGCCCAGCCGGGACCAGGAGGGCATGAAGCGGGGGAGGGCAGCTCCCACCACTGCACACTGCTTGTCTGGTGGCTCAACCGGCAGTTCCCACTGCTGCTCCCACCACTGGTCTGGGAAGACATGATGGGCATGTGCCCCCAGATCTGTGTGAGGTGGGGCTGGCAGGGCTAGGGCTGCATTGGGCTTCACTCTGGGCAGGCAGCAGCAGTCCTGGGAGTGCTGGCTATGCTATCCCACCACTTGCCCAGCTGGGGTGGAACAGGCATGGGATGGAGCTGCTGCATGGCCTCCAGGACAAGTAGCAAGCAGAGGTGGTAGTCATGCCCCCAGCACAAACAGTGGCTTTATCCCATGCCCACACCTGCCCTGGGCGAGTGTCAGGAGGACATGAGGTGTAGTGTGACCCCAAACTGGGGTGGAGTGGGTGGCGGAGCAGAGGCTATGGGGGGCTGCAGCCACCCAAAATTCACCATAGCCCTTGCTGCCCACGCACAGCACAACTGCCTGCAGCCCCAGCCCTGCCGTGTGCAGATCCAAGGATATATGCCCCCCTGCTCCCGAACCAGCAGTGGGAGCAGCAGTGGGAACTGCCAGTCAAGCTGCCAGATGACCAGTGCACAGCAATGGGAGCTGATACCCCCCTCCCATGCCCGCCCAGCCCTGGCTGGGCAGCACTTGCCCCACCCCTGGTCCCAGCCCAAGCCCCTCCCTCACCATGGGGGGTGCTGATCTGCCTCCCCATGCCCCTTCCCTTACCCTTCCACCACAGAACACTTACCAGCTGCTCGCAGCTGTATTGACTGTTGTAAAGATAAAACCCACACCAGATCATCAGAACAGGATGTCAATTTATAAAAGTTAAATGACATTTGTCACAACTCGAAAAGTCATAAGTTGAGGAATGCCTGAACGGAGTTTGATGCTAATCATTTCAAATCCTTAAACTCAACATAAAATCCATGGAGTTACTTACCACAGGTCTGTGTACATCCCAGAATGCTCTCTCCTGACTATCAAGGATTTTTCTTTCTATCTTGTCTCTTTTCTTGTCCACTCTGTCAATGTTGTGGTATATTTAAGATGAACAGTGTTAATAGTGGTACTCTTTAGAATATTCAATGACAAATCCAGCAACAAAAATTCAATATAACTTACTTTGCTTGTGCTTCAGCTTGCATGAAAATAAATTCCCATTTCCGGGCAAATGCTCGTTGTAACCTGGCCAAACTTTCCTGAAAATACATCACAGTTTAAGGAACTTAAATTGTAGATTTAGATCAGTTCTACTCTCTACAATGGTAGATTATCTTTCACACATCACAAAATAATATAGTGGTCAAAAACCATAATGTACATGCTAGCATAAATACAACCTGTTTGTTTGGAGTAAGGTACCTGCTTAACAGAAAAGGACAGAATGCCAGGGATGTTTGTTCCAATTCACTATCTCTAAGTTTGAAAAAGGGTGATGAAAAAGCGGAACACAAAGTTAGGGGGAGAGCCTGGTGCTCTTGCTAAGTTGTGGGCATTGAGCAGACAGTTATTGTGCTAATTCAATAATACCCTCCAGTTTTCAACAGTAGCACAGAGTGTGGGAGTATAGCAATAGCATTTGCATGATATTGCCATTAATTTACATTAGAATATCCATTTGTCTTCTCTGTGAAGTGTTAACATTGAGTAAATATGGGCTATGGTACTGCTAGAGATCGCTGTTGCCAAACATTATAAGGAGAAGTGATTATTATTCTGGGAACATAAAACTCATCTCAAGAAAACTGGCCATGCATGATTTAATTTTAAAAAATCTTCCTGAAGAGACTGTAGCTATCCATTTCTGTACAGAAATATATATAAATCCAATATGTATCATTTTCAAAGCCTTGGTGTAAGTCTTCCCTCAGGTACAGTAGTAAAACTGGAGGATCTCTGCATCTCCCTCACCTGTATGCAATGTGCTGGCTCTTGTGAATCCCATCTCTAGGCACCTAACTGACTATTTTCTGTATTGGGAACTCAGAAGCTTAACTCAAGTTTATGAATTTCATTCTGAGATCCAGGAGTTTAAGGGTCAGGTGATGATACTGGGTGTATCCATGTCTCTCTGTGGATGTGGGCATGAGAATCTGAAGGTACTTAAGCAGAATTTAGGCATTTATATCCCTCAAAAAAGAAAGAAACCAAACAGATACTGCTCCAACAGCTGCAAAACTATTGAAGCATCTAGATTCATTAGCCATCTCCATTTTGGCCTGAAAGATCCCTAACACTGAGGCTTCTAGGCTTGGTCCTAAACAATCTAGATCAAAAACCTAGGATTTGCCTATACACTCCTGTGATCCAGATAAGACATGGGAGATGCCTAAATTCTATCCAAATCATCTGTTTTGCATTCACAAAACTTGCCTAACTGCCACTATCATCACTATTCAGAACAGTGCAAAGCACAACACCCAGACCTGGATTTTAGGTCCTTCTCAACCTCAAGGAATTCAAGCCACATCTCCCAATTCATAGGAGAGTGTTCTCACTCCCAGGCAATGGTAGCAAAAGGAGACTGACTCTTTAGTTCCTGGACTTCCCAGTTCGGAGTGAAATACAGCTTTTAGTCCCCACTGCCTAGATAGTTTATACATTTCACATGAGAAAGTCATTGGTTAAGCAAAGAAATAAATTAGAATGGGGGGGGGGTGCCCTTATCTCTGGGCTAAAGGTCATGCTGCCTCTTGATTACTGTCATTCTGGCCCCATGCATCTTTCATTTCTATATGCCCAGTACACTCATTTTAACAGGAGATGTAGAAGATGTCCTCACTCATGCTGTCCTATAGCTTTGTGATTAGGGCAGTGTCCTGGGAAGTGGTACATGGGAGGCTGTGTCTCCTTGGGCTGAGGAAGGCACAAAACCCAGTTGCCCCATGTCCTGGGGAATGCTTTAATTACTAGGTTTTTTGCCCCACAGTATCTGAGAATGAAAGTTGGGACAGGTGCTGCATTTTTCACAAAACTGAATGCTGTTGACAGGATGAGTTAGGTGTCTTTTGCATCCCAAAGTGATGGATGTGAAGCTCTGTTTAAAAATCATAAGTTTTGAGGGGAGCAGGAGCTTAAATTAGCTCCAAAACCTAATGCTTCCTACTGGATCACTCAGCATCTAGGAAAATGATCATCCTTTGCACATGCATACATTTCTCCATGCATATATGGGATTGTGGGATGTCCACCTCTTCCAGTTTGATTTACCATCCTGGGGTGAGTGAGGCTCCTATTTTTGAGATGCTGCAATACCTAAATGGAAGTGCAGATGAGGAAGATTTGGATTTGGTGCTACATGCTAAAGTCACTTTTGCAAATGAGCTTTATATTAGTAAGTCATTAATTTACCTTTGAAAATTTTGCCTGAGATCATTCTACCTTATTCTTTTGAATATGACTCATCTTTAAAAACTTTTTTTTTTTTAATAAAAATGCCCTGCATCTATCCTGAAACCACTCATCACTCAAAGAGCAAGTTTTCTTTAAGACATCACAGACTTTCTCAGCCAAATCCAGAGCATTGACCACATCCCTGAGAAGGCCATATTTGTAACCATAGATGCCACCAGCCTGTACACTAACATCCCACATCATGAAAGCACAGCTGCCCACCTGAAATACCTACAATAATCTGGAGTATAGTCAGATTTGCAACAACATGTTGCACAAATCATCTACTTCATCCTCACTTACAAGTTCACTTTCAACAATCATCACTTCAAACCATTGGCACAGTTGTGAGCACAAAGAAGGCCCCTCAATATGCCATCCTCTTCATAAGCCACCTGGAGGAAGAAACATTAGAAAGCTGCACCATCAAAACTGCATTATGCTTGCATTACATAGATGCTATTTTTATTATCTGGGCTGAACACCTGGACTCACTTATTGACTTCCATCACAGGTTTAAACAACTATCACTCCTCACTCAAATTTTCTCTGGACTACTCCTATACTAACATCAACAGTCTAGATACCACAATCCACATCCATGATGGCACCAGATAAACCACTAGATACAGAAAACCCACAGACCACCAAGCCTATGTCCACAAGACCAGTAATCATCTAAGTACACTCAGGAAACTGTAATCTACAGTTCAGCTCTCATACCACTGCATCTGCTCTGAGGAGAACACTCATGATGCCCTCCTAGACAGTCTAAAGTCTGCTTTTATACAACAAAGGCACTCCAGCAGAGAAACAGTCCTTATATTTGAAAGAGCTATTCAAGTACCCCATGGTAACCTGCTACAATAGAAAAAGAAAACTCCCTGTGAATATCCTAGTGTGCATCCCCACGCAATATTGTAACTGATCAGAAAAATCATCAGACTACAGCCTATACACAACCAAAATCAGACCTTTGAAAGAAATATTGCCATCCCCTCCATTCTTGGCTCTCAAACAAACCTCTAACTCATCATCAGAACCATCTCCCCACTGCCCACTAGGCATCAAGCGGCACACAGTCCTGCCTTGGCAAGAAATACTTAACCTACCAGCACATCTCTACTGCCACTATTATGAATACACACCCCCTTACAAAATTATCATAATCCATATGTCCTACACATCTTTTCCACAATGTGATATACCTGATCCAATGCACCAAATGCCCTCATCACAACCACATGGATGAAACTACATACCAGAATGAACTCTTAAAGAAAAAATATATATAAAGGACAAAGACATGCATACACTATTAGGAGCACATTCTCACAGAACAACCACTCCCTCTCTGACCTCGCTGTCTTCATAGTCAAGGGAAATGTGCTTAATGCCTTTAAAAGGCAAACATGGGAACAAAAAAATCATAAACTGGCTGAATACTAAGAACCAAGGACTTAACATTGATACTGGTTTAATGGCATGTTCTAATTTACCCGACACCTGAATTCTTTCCACAGGTTAAGGGTGAGAAGGACTCTCCTCCCTTTTGATAGGCCTTCATCTCCCAGTACTCAGCTTCTTCTACTATTTGTGTGTTTGCTGCCCTGGCAAGTTCTCTCACTCTCTCCTACTATTGCTTGTTACTGTGCTGTGTTTGGCTTGCCGTGGTCAGACCTGATGAAGAATGCCTTGCATTTGAAAGCTTTTCTAACTCTATGCCAACTACACAGTGGGTGTGTCTACAAGTTCATTAACATGCCTTAGATACTGCACATTTAACTTAGTACTTCCTTAATAAAGTACTAACTAAATGCACAGTATCTAAAGTTACTGCATAGCAGCACAAGCAAATGGTTATTTAATGATGCTTACTGCTCATTAGCCTAATAACACTGTGCAGTAAGTGTCTCATGTAGATATGCTCAGTTGGTCTACACCATCTCTCTTACACTACAACTGCATCTTAAATTCATGGAAAAAGAAAAGAAAAAGTAAAGCTCTTAAATATACCAAAAAGATTATACCTTGTAACTGTGTCTTTACATATCTTTTTCTCCCTAAGTTGAGAGCCAGAAAAATGTGTGTGTGTCAGATTCATGGGTACCTTGTATATAAATAGAATACAATATTCATAGGTAGAAACTTTACACTATGCAGTACAGTTGTTTCCAGGTATTGAAGTATATCTGCCTCAGACAGCAGGGATTTAAGGGCTTGTGAACATTGATGCCAGGAAAAGCAACGGTGAACAGTTAGATAAGAAATGAGATGAAACCAAAAGCCCAAGTTTCAAACAGTGCCCCAAAGATTTAGCAAAAGTTGGGGTTTGCATCTAACTGTTCATCCCACTTCTATCACCTGAAATCTTTACTTCAGCCTCTCCTATGCAACAGCATTTATGGTTTCTAAAAGAAGCCATAGAGTACTAGTTGCTCTTTGTTTAGATACAAGTTAAATTAGATCAATTTATAAACTACGGCTGAAGAGTTTGTGTTCTTCATCTTGAATTTTATTCTACATGCTGCAGGGCTTGAGAAACTCATTGATTTGACATCTCAGTTTGAGGAATGGCCCCAGGTACTTACTGCTTCATAGTCTGCTAGCTCAAGCCGCGCTTTGTTTTGCATTGTTCGCTTGCAGAGGTAAACCGCTGGAATACCAAAAAAATAAAAATAAAAAAAAAATCAATCATTTCTCGCTGTCTCATAAACATCAAACCCCCAGAAACCAGCAAGATTCATCCACTTTTCTTTGAAATAAATTGGTAGTTTATTCCTTCTGTATTCCTTGAAAAAATGCAGACAGTAGAACCTTTACTGCAATGAAGTCAGCCAAAATGATCAACTACATGATTCTAAAACTCACTTTATCTCATAGCCATAATAAACGAAATGTTTGTCTTTTTGTTTGTTTATTAAAAAAGAAAATATAAAAGTATTTTAAAGGAATAATGTTCACAGTATATCTAAAAGAGCAAAGTGGCTTTTCAAGAACATAAAAAAATTATATATATATATTATTTTCCAATTTCAGAGACAACAAACAACAATTAAATGAGAAAAATCACAGTTAAAGGCAACATGAACAACATAAATGATAAATAGGCTCTGAAAGTAACATTCCCTTCAATGAATATCTCAAAGAGAAGACTATGGAAGGCTATAAATGAAAGAAGGGCAGCATGGCTTATGTACAACGGTGAGTCAGAATCTAATCTGATGTAATTCTATGAACTTTAAAAGTGTTGTCCTGGATTCATTATAGTGTAACTGAACAAATGTAATGTTTTTACAAAAGACTAAATATAGAAAAGATGACAGGTCAAAAATAAAATGAATGTGAATTAACCAGTACAGATGTTAGTATTGTTCATTAAAATCATTGCACTAAATGCTTGAGCCTGAATTCTTTATGCATTTGACTTTCCTACTGACTTAAGCTTCATTTGCTCTCATCTTGGGGAAAATTCAATCTTCACTATGAACCTCAGTAGCTCCATAATACAGGGGATCCTTTCCAGGGATGAAGTGAGGCACCTAAATTCTCTGTAACAAGGCAAAGGAGCAATTTTGTGAACACTTTATACTGCTATAGTACTATCCCCTTTCTGGGATGGAGTGGCCTGTTGATTACTGTAGACAAAGATCTACCAACCCTGTCTGTCATCTCTCTGGTCCACAGAAAAAAGATATGGGCCAAATTTCACTGTGGTTTACCCCAGCCCTGAGGAATTTCACTGATTTCCCTGGTACTGCAGCAGAGAACTTAGAGTTCAGAGACTCTTGTAAAAACTGTATTTGTGCTTCCAGACGTTACCTGATGAAAAGAAAAGTAAAAATAAGACTGAAGCCCTATCAAGTTACAACAGCATGCATCCATTCTTCTTTGGGATGACGCACAGTTACTTAAAGGCTCTTCAAAATCCATCCCTAGGTTATACCCATCATGACGTTTAGCAGGCCCAATGATGTTTAGGAAGTGAGGCAACCCTGCAAGTCTCCCTCCAGGAAAAAGAAGTATGACTCCCTCCAGGAGAAGCTGCTTCCTCACACTGAAGGATGATGTATTTGGGGGTGGAGGGGGGGGAGAAATCACAGTAGTCTCTCACAGTAACTGTATTATGCATTTCCCTTAAGCCCCTATTAGACATGATGGAAACATGAAAGCTTCATCTTCTTGGGAACCACTTTGTACCTGACTTACTTCAGACATGGGCTCTCCATCAGTCTGTCAGGCAGCAGTAGCAGACAGTTTTCCCATCCCTTTCTGGAGGGCAGAATGGTTGACAGAGCAATGTCTTCTGAACCCAAGGTCCTCAGTCTTGGGCAAACGGCTCTTTCTCTAGGGTTGGGGCTGCCTCATCATTGCTATAAACCTGGTTAAAGCATCATTTGTTTGCTGCAAAGCTGCTTATTTCCTTGCTGACTTCTAACAATCCACTATAGTTTAAATCTGTGGCAAGTCTCCAGTCACAAACAAATCCATGGAGGCATGAAGCATATTCAGAAAAAATAACACAAGGTTTCTCAGTTTATAATACTTCTATTCTCAGATGATGGGTGTCCAATATATATTCTGAGCTTTGCTTTTTGTTGTCAGCTTAATCAATATGTTTGAAGCAGCTATTGTTTCAGAAACCTAACTTCCAGAGAAGACCATACTAATGAACCCCTTAGTTTGGCAGCCAGCCTTAGACTGTGCCCAATGCAGGATGCTTCAGTAAAAGATCTGAACCTCCCCCTGTTTCTGCCCCCCCCCCCACACTTAACTGCAACACATGAGCAGCCTCCCTTAGGATGACTGAGAGGTAAGGGATTGCCACTGCAACCTTTGCTCACAGCAAAAAGCACTTACCCACACAAACATAAAAGACTAATCCCATTCTGAAATTTACTGACAGCAAGAAAATGATAAGGACTGAAAATTCTCAAGCTTCACAAGTCAGTGGGGTTGCCTCTGTAAATGTGACTTTAAATGAGAAATGGTCGTGAAACCAGGCTTCTGGCGTACCTCTTCTCCAAAAGGAGCATCACATAATCCTGCAGGTATACTTAAATTCTTGTTGATTCTTTCTTTTAGTGTAACAAAAAAAAAAATCTCACTGAAGCCTTAAACTGCAGCAAGAGTCTTATTTTAGAATAAGAAATGGTTAAAGCAAAACAACAAAAGTATATGAGACACAAAACAATCCTCAAAAAAATAGGTAATTTCAGGACTTATATAAGTCATCTGTCCCAAAATGAGATTCTTAAGAGAAATACAGTCTGGAAACCAGAATACTATTTAAGCATAAGGACTTTTGGCCTTCGCTATTTTAAGGGCATTTCAAACTGGAATTAGACTTTTGTATACATAAACATCTGGTATTACACCACACTACCTTATTAATCACTTGTGGCAATGCTTTCCACACCTGTCTTCCTGAAATTTCCATTTCATGCCTTTTTTAGCATACATATTTCTTGGTAAAAGACCTCACAACTGGTTTTGTTATGCCTCAGGTCTTCTATCCAGGACATTAGAAAGCTTCTCCCTTTTAGGAACCTAATGACTGTATCACCTGTGACTTTTTTCTCATTACAATATTTTCTACATACAGGACATGTTTATTGTACAGTTGATTAGCTGCCCAGTAAACATCTCAGCATCTACAAGTGTGCCTCTATTAGGATGGAGTAAACTAATTTACTTTGCAACAGAATACTACTTGTAAATACATGTACTATATATCTTTAAAATTATTATCCTGCTGAAGAGTAAAAAACTTAAGAGTAAAAAAATGTAGATACTGCCCACCTGGCAGGGGCATGAGGGCGCTTCAGTGTGGGGGCTGCCTGCCAGCAAGCCCCACAGTGAAGTACCCTTATGTCCCAGCCAGCCCCTCCACATCATGCTGAGCCAGGGACAGCTGCTGCAGGCTGGCAGATTAACTTCCAGGACCCCCTGCTAGCTGGGGCTGCTGTGCTCAGGTTCCACATGCTGTGCCTTGCAATTAACTCTGGAGCAATAAACTGCACAGTTTATTCAGGTGCTGTAATTGAACATGTAGACACACCCACAAGTGTGGTTAAGGCAGAGTTAAAAGTTTGCACTGCTATGGCCATATGATAGAACTGAATCACCCAGATGATCATGTAATGGTGTACAAGCTCCCAAAAGTGTTAATGGAGAAAAACTTCCCATCTTTCCTCTTGAAACTGCCTGTTGAGCAGCCAAGAGTGGAAGATATGTGGGGCTAGAAAGAAAGCAAATCAGTGGGAGTGTGGCCCAGTGAGATGGACAATGAAATGGCTCTAGGTTCTGGCTTTTGCTTCTGTCTCCAGTGCTGCTCTGCATATTATATTTTACATTCATTGGATAGAATAGATAGGTAATAATGAGGTAACTTCTGTTCCTTAGGAGTTACAGTAGCTTAGCCCATGGCTTGGTGGCTAAAACACTTTGCTGGAAGTGGGAGATATACTTCAAATCCCTTGCATGAAGGGGGTTAAGAACCTGGGTTTCTCATTCTGTAAGCAAGTGTTCAAATCACTAGGCTATTTGGACTAAAAGGTGGAAGAGCCTTCCTTCTCTTCTTCCTCCTCCAAATAGTTGCCAGTTATGGTTTTTTTTCTGATGTATTTTGGGAACTTACACATAATTATATACCTTCCCAATTTATTCTATTCTACCAGTGTATATACATAGCCATAGTGGAGCTTTTCTGTTTGCTGGCCTGTTCACTGGTCCTGCAATCAAAGTCTGGACAAGTTAACAGTTTAATCATTACATTGTTCAGTTTAACCCTTCAAGAGATGTATATATGAGGAACTTCAAGCTTGCTGTCTCTCTCTCCCCATTAAATTTTAAATATATATTATCACAATGACCCATTTTCTGGGTTCAGCTATTTTTCCTTCACTCTTACTATTTAATTGTAGTTTAAAGCTCATGTGAAGGTTCTTCAATTTATTTTTAAAGAGGACCATAGAGATAATTAAGGAGTTTCATGGTATGAATAAGTGAACTAATTATACATAGCATATATGCTTTTCATGGAAAACCCAGTTTTCAGTCTACAAGTTTAAATCTAGTAATTTAAACAAGTTGCTAAGACAGTGTCCTGCCTTTCACTGAATTACATGGCAAAACTTCCACTGATTTCAATGCTACTGGGAGTGGGGCTTTAGAGATTATAGACAGAAGAAGAAAAATAACCCTAGTATCTTTCAGAACCCCAGTCAGGATAAACTTGTAATTCTCAGGCACAACCAGATATTACTATAGCTTAATAGGGACACAAATTATAGGAATGACAGGATTCCACTTCAGCAGGGCTCACATATTATTCAGGCAAAATAGCGGTAAAGTTTATATTAGCAACAGGAACAAATTATGGCCTCAGAGTCAATAGAAATCATACCTACATGCATCATTTCATGAGCAAAAAGAATAGCAACCCAAATGGAAAGTCTATAGAGTTCAAACAGTCTCTGTCTTCAGATACACATGCAGGTAAAAGCGCAATGGGATCTACTGTGCAATTCACACAATCACACTTCCTGCCATGCCACATGTTTGTGGGACTGCACATTAGATCTTATTGTGCCTTATTACCAGTGCAGGGGTAACCCAATCCCAGGCTCCCCCTGCACCAGAAAGACGCAAGCT